AAAAAATTCAGAATATATCAAATTTAAAGAATAATTATGAATTAATAATCATATTTTATCATTAAGTCTTATGGTTCCTGAAATATTTGTTATAAAAATTCTTGTAAAGACATTTCTTGAGATATATAAAGTCTTATGGTTCTTGTAATATTTGTTTTCTTTTAATAAACATGAAGCAATTAAAGAAAGATATTAAAAAATTGACTGTCATAAATTTGTAATAATTAACATACCATTTAAGACAAGTAACTGATGGAAAATAAGGTAATCATCTTATCAACTTGCGCAAGTAATTGATAATAAAATAAGACAAGTTATTAATAAACAAATCAACTAATTAAAAGCCTTTACCAACAAGGTATATCTTTCCTTACCATAATATGGTTATAAAATTAAAGAATAATAAATAATTTTGATTTTGATATATTTTAAATCTATAGGAATATATATAATTATGTTTTATCACTTATATTTAATATAGAAATTTTTATTTAACCGATTTATAACATTAGTATTAGAAATATATACAAAAATGTTACACATATCATATTCTAACTCTGAATTATATACATAATTTATTATGTGATAAACTGTATAAAGTTATATTATAATTGACATAGAACTATATAGTTTATGATGACAAAAAAATATGACAAAAAAGAAATATATAGTTTACATATATGAATTTATAGGATATACATTTTATAATATGATAAATTGTATAAAATCATATTTGAGTACAAAGTTGATAAAATGTATAAAACCATTTAAGACAAGTAACTGGTGGCAAAATAAGGTAATCATCGTATCAACTTGCGCAAGTAATTGATAATAAAATAAGACAAATTATTAATAAACGAATTAACTAATTAAAAGCCTTTACCAACAAGGTATATCTTTCCTAATACCATAATATGGTTATAAAATTAAAAAATAATAAATAGTTTTGATTTTGATATATTGTAAATCTATAGAAATATATAATAATTATGTTTTATCACTTATATTTATTATAGAAATTTGTATTTAACCGATTTAATTCTAACATTAGTATTAGAAATATATACAAAAATGTTACACATATCATAT